TAGTGATGTGTCAAAGATGGGTCTAGGTTGTGTACTGATGCAACGTGGAAAGGTAATTGCTTATGCTTCAAGGCAGTTAAAAGATCATGAAAGAAAGTATCCCACTCATGATATGAAATTAGCAGCGGTAGTGTTCGCTTTGAAGATATGGAGGCACTATCTATACGGAACAAAAAGTCAAATTTTCACAGATCATAAGAGTTTACAACATTTATTCCATCAGAAAGATCTGAACATGCGTCAAAGACGATGGTTGGAGTTGGTTAGTGATTATGATTGTAAAATTTGTATCATCCAGGAAAGGCAAACATTGTAGCCGATACTCTAAGCCGACAAGAGAAAAGTGGAACTATTAAAGTTGTAGCTCTAGGAGTTGAGTTACTACTAAGTATTCAGGAAGAATTACGAGAATTTCAACATGAGGCCATGAAGGAAGATAAGATTAAACAGGAAAGATTGGGTGGATGAATATCTGAATTTGTGAAAGATGGCAGAGAATTCTGGGAATTTCAGAACAGAATTTGGGTACCAAACTATGGTGGTCTTAGGAAACGTATTTTGAGTGAGGCTCACAAATTACGTTTTGCAATTCACCCAGGTACGAATAAAATGTACCGAGATTTGAAGCAACACTATTGGTGGCCAGGTATGAAGAATGATATAGCTAAACACGTTGAACAATGCCTGACATGTCTCCAGGTGAAGATAGAACACCAACGTCCTTATGGTAAGTTGCAATCCTTAGAAATTCCAGTTTGGAAATGGGATCACATCACTATGGATTTCATAACCAAACTGCCGAGGACATCAAAAGGTTATGATGCTATATGCGTAATAGTAGATCGGTTATCCAAGTCTGTACATTTCTTACCAATGAGAGAATCATATTCAATGGAGAGATTGGCTAAACTATACATTGATGAGATAGTGACACATCATGGTGTTCCTCTATCAATTATTTCTGACTGAGATAGTCGATTCACTTCTATGTTTTGGAAAAATTTCCAAAGAGAAATGGGTTCGCAGATTAAGCTAAGTACAACTTATGGTGAAGTGAACGAACTATCCAAATGTTAGAAGATATACTTAGAGCATGTGTAATTAATTTTGGAGGATCATGGGATAGTCATTTGGCTCTGGTGGAATTTGCGTACAACAATAGTTATCATTCAAGTATTCAAGTTGCACCTTTTGAAGTTCTGTATGGACGAAAATGTCGAACTCCTTTGAGTTGGAATTAAATAGGTGAAAAACAGTTAGCTGGGCCTGAATTAGTTCAGCAAACCGTAAATAAAATTGGCGTAATACGAGAACGAATGAAAGCGGGACAAGATAGACAAAGAAGTTATGCAGATAAACATCGGAAGCCGATTGAATTCCAAGAAGGTGATAGAGTGATGTTGAAAGTATTGCCATGGAAAGGAATGGAACGTTTTGGTAAGAAAGGGAAGTTAAGTCTGAGGTATATTGGACCATTCCCTATTATATGAAAAGTTGGAGAAGTAGCGTACAAACTAGAACTTCCTTTAGAGCTAAGTGGAATTCATGACACTTTTCATGTGTCTAATTTAAGGAAGTGTTTAGTAAGTCCAGAAACAACGGTTCCTCTACCTAAAATTAAAATTGATGAAAGATTGTGCTTTGAAGAAACCCCTAAATAAATTACTGACTTCAAATTAAAGAAGTTGCAGAATAAAGAGGTTGGGTTAGTAAAGGTTCAGTGGCGTTATCACAAAGGACCAGACGCCACTTGGGAATCAGAATCTGAAATGCGATTGAAATATCCCTACCTTTTTGTTTAAATGGAATTCTGGGACAAAATTATTTTAAGGAGTGAGTATTGTAATATTCGGTTTATGTATTTTAAGAGTTTTAGATTTTTTTTGCATGAATCTTAGTATGAAGGGTGATTGGTGTGTCTGTGGAGTTAGATGAGTTGTTTATCTTGGAGGCGGTCATACACTTGCTATATATAGCAAGTGTATGAGAAAGGAAAGTCTTACTGGACTTTTAGAAAGTTTTCTTTGGGAAAATTGGAGAAAATTTGAAAGAATCAGAATCCATAAACCGGCCAACTTCATTCCAAGGTGAGTGTAGATTGCTTTGTATATTAGACTGATATATACATTGTTAGTAGAATAGTCTGTACTAAATTCCTTTATACAAGTATTGACCAAATTCAATGTTAAACCAGACAGGTGTTGTCCGGATTCAACCTAAACCGGACGAGAGTTGACTAGATATAACCTAAACCGGACAAGTATCAATCGAATATTTACTAAATCGAACAAAGACATCATTTGATATTCATCTAAATCGCTCAAGGGATAGCCGGTTTAAAGTTAAACCGAAACCGCTCAAGCCACGTCCGATTTTTCCTCTTTTTATTCTAAGTAATTGTCCGGATTTCATATCCGGACAATGATGACCAAACTTCAAATCTGGTTAATGTTGCTTGAATTTCACTATCAGTTTTGGTTTGAATTTGAAAACCAAGAGAGATGTAATGGCGGTGTAACCGCGAGGGAGATGTAATAGCGATGTAACCGCGAGAGAGATGTAATGGCGGTGTAACCGCGAGAGAGAGATGTAATGGCGGTGTAACTTCAAGAAAGATGAAATGACGGTGTAATCGCGAGAGAGAAAAAAATCTGTATCAAATAAATATAAAATGTTTGTGTTTGTACATGTTTGATTCTAAACTGATAGTTTGGAATGTAAATTACTTATATGTAATTGGTACACTCACTAGACCTTTTGGGTCTAATGCTCAGTTGTTGGACTAACCTGTTTTGCAGGTCATCATACATCACAAGATAAAGGCAAGGGGAAAGTTTGAACGATGATATTTAGATGCATTTAAATGTATTTAACAAAGTTTTTTGTTAGTCCATGTTTGGTAAACAATATTACAATATGTCTTATGAATGTGATTATGTGGATTATCTGTACGTGGAAATTGTGAGTTGTTACAACCATTAAGAGACAGACTTTTTTTTTGCCTAACAAGATTCACCTCTTAACAATTCAGAGATTGCCTCTTAATGGAACTATTAAAAAGTAAACAACCAACCCCTTACTCTTCCTATACGATCTCCACCGTTGCTACCATTCTTATCCAAAGTAGCTATCTAAAAATGACATTGAGGGTTGCATAATCTATGGGTAGCATTTGATCCACACACTAGATGAAATTATGACTAAAATATAACATAGTCAAAATGTTAAAATGACAAGATTGCCTAAATTATTGTTTAAATAATTTTACTATAAAAATTGAAATTAAATTTTTTAATATATATATATATATATATATAGGTTGATTCAAGGGAGAACTGATTAGTTTGTGATAACTATAAGATCTAATCTCAACCACAAATCAATGAATAAATCAGTCAACTAATTTTTGGTAGTTTGACTTAGAACTATAATTAAAGAGCATTTTAGGTATTTTAAAATTTTTATCTCCCCCCTCTCTCTCTCCTACCTCCGGCCTTCGACGAACACCATGTAATACCCAAAATACACCATGATACACAATGTGATACCCAAAATACATACAACGTGATACTCAAAACATACCAAGTAAATTTTGAGAGCATTGTGATACCAATTTGTGGTACCAATGTGATACCAACTGTGCTACCATTGTGATACCAACTATAACGAGGATGGGGGAAAGGAGATAGGTAGTAAGGGTATCACAGGGATAAAGATAATGCTAGCTGTCGAGAATGCTTACAGGTGGGTGTTTAGTGGTTGATCATCGGAGATGGCGTTTTGGTCAGACAAGATGACCAAAGGAGGCCATTGGAGTGGTGGTGAGTGCCGGAGAAGGTCACCGAATTTGGTCCCTATGTGTCCGTGTGTGTGTATATATATATTTATATTAAAATAATTAAACTATTTAAAATAAATTAGAATACTAAACTAATTAAAGTAAATTGAATAATCAAAACATTTTACTAATTTACCCTTTGTTTTATTTAGTAAATAACATTAACTATCTAAAACGATTAGCTCATATTGGACCTCACAGTTACTACAAACTATCTAATTCTCATTTGATTAGACCTATATATATATATATATATATATATGTCTATATATATTACTAATGGTGTACCCGCGCGATGCAGCGCGGATAAATCACAATTCAAAAACATTAGTTTGGCTTTGAATCATGAGTTTGTGTGGTTATTTTACAAGTCAACTAATATATAAAGTTGAAGGTCAATTTTGTTTGTTAGCAAGATCGAATAAAAAGAAAATTGCACATATGTTGGGTTTCTGAAACCATCTACTCAGAGCTCATTACAAAACTTGAAATTCTTGAATGAACAAAGAAATACAATCGTTCGTAAAATAATGTTCATCCGTATATTCGAACTGTTGTTTGCTTTTCGTGATGCACTCATCCGTAAATATTTCCTGCAAAAAACGRCGCAATGGTTTTAATAGAAACATATGGTACAAAATGTGTAATAATATAATTGTTGATTATACCTTATTCATCACGTAAAACATCTTGATAGACGACGTTTGAGGTGTCGACTCCGGCATGATTGAATTTTTTAACAGGCTTCACTAACACCTTCGTATTCCCCGTGATATCCCTCTGGACGACGCCACATAAAGTTGCCCGTGTGAGAAAACTGATTCCGGTAGATAAACACCTACATTCGGAATTGTTTGGCCTTGAGCTTTATTGATTGTCATAGAAAAGCTAAGCCGAATTGGAAACTGTTTTCTCTTCAACTTAAATGGGAACATGTTGTCTTCGGACGGACATAAGGGAATTCTCGGCAGAAWTACTCTCTTTCCAGCATGCTGACCAACAACTATTTATGCATGGATGACGTTCTGTTGAAAGCCTCTGCATATCAATCTACTGCCATTACACAATCCATTCGAGGGATCGATATTTTGTAACAGTATTATTKGGCATCCAATCTTGAGACGAAGGTAATGAGGAGGCAAACCACTAACAGTTAAAGAATTTAAGAACTCCATTGGATAGATGTTGTTCTTATCATCTTTTGTTTCGTCGAAGCTGTAGTATATTTTTCATCTCCAGAAAACTTGTCGATCAACTGATCATTAATCTCGTCAACATTCTCGTTTTTAGTTGACAATATCGCCCTCGAAATGATATAATCGGAATCAGCTCCGTTGATTTGTAGAGATGGAAAGATTGCATCAATCAATGCATCTTTTGACTTACCTTTATCAGCATAGGGAATGGTCATGTCATCCGGTATGCGAATAAATATTTTGTCCACCGCTTCTTCATCTCCATCACCGACTCTTAATAAAAATTCTAAAAACCACAGATCAGTGCGTGCTCTCATATTGAGCGTTAACCGTATATTTTTAATCGTTGTTAAAAGAGGTGACATCCGTAAGCTAGAATCTACAATCTGTGCTCGGGTTCCACGCCTCACGACCGGTAATACTTGTCTAAAATCACCCCCCAAAACCATTATCTTTTCGCCGAATGGGAGTGCCACCCCTATGATGTCTCGCATTGTTCGATCGAGCGCCTCCACTGCTTGGCTCTTTGCCATCGACGCTTCATCCCATATGATTATTTTTGCATCTCGAATCAATTTAGCAGCCCCACTTTGTTTTCTTATGTTGCACATTGAGTTATTATCAAGGTTGAGAGGAATTTTGAATCTAGAGTGAGCTGTTCTCCCTCCAGGCATATTATTGGTAGCAACACCCGACGAAGCGGTTGCGAGAGCAATAAGACCACGTTAACGGATGTTGGCAAGCAAAGCTTTGTACAAAAAAGTCTAACCGGTTCCACCAGGACCATCTATAAAGAACACTCCTGGACAATCCTCGTCTACGTGCCTCATGATCTCATCATATGCGTATTTCTGGTCTGAATTTAGAGTCTCGGGCACGCAAGTGTTCATCTTCCACAACTATAGAGAATTCCTCTTGTACCTCACAAAATTCTCCAGATTGAAAATTTGAATTTGCATCAACCATTAGAAGATCGAAATCATCAAGACTCTTACCCATAGACTGTAGAAAAACGAGGATATCAGTTAGAACCAGATTACGAACTCGATTAGCACTTTCACTTTGTCGCGTATAATCTTCAGAGAGTGAATCATAGTGGTCATCCCATAACTTGCGAACATCTCCTGGCTCACAATAAATCAACATCGTGGCAAATAACCTCCTAAGAGCAGCCAGAAATTGAAATAAGAAGGCCTCTCCAAGAGATGCTTTGCGAAATGTAGGGTGCAGTAAGCTGTTAAAACTGTATAGATCTTCAAAGCAAGTAGGCCCAGTAATATGAGACAAAAGTAGGCGTAGGTAGAACCGCTCTCCTTCAGCTGGATTTGCAGACACTAGTCGGCCTTTCATTGATCCTCTTTGTCGAGGATTCCATCGACGTGTACTCCAATTCCATGTGTAGTGTTTTGGAAAGTCTTTGTACAAATATTGTCTTGCACTAATGTCTGTTCTATTCCTATCAAAAAATRCAGTCAGCATCGTTCGCTTATCTCTCTCTCTATCGATAATATCTGTCATTATATCATCATCTCTAAACCTAACCATCTGTTTTGTTAGGGAGATGGAGTTGCAACGTCATCACGTAAGGGTGCATTTGAGAAATGTGAAGCTAAAAATCCGCCATATCGCTTTGGGAGGGGAGACATAACGTGCATCTTGGAACCTTCTAATTTCGTTAATAATGACCCTTTCTTCCTCTGAATCGATATGAACAACCTGTTTGTCGTGACCCTTGTAAACATACTTGAAAACATACTTCACAGATGTTATACTCGAGCAAGCCTCAACATTGATATGACAATTAAACATCATTAACAACTTCGGGTTATACGGGACCACCCATCTATTATCCAGGATGTTGCCTCGTACATTCACATTAATTCCACTATTTCTTCGTCGATATAATGGATATGAGTCCTCAACCTGCATCGTCTTGTCATTGAACTATTTGGGATATCTGAAACGATATTTTTTCGGCTCACCTTGCATCCAAGGACTGGACGATCGTAAATGACCGCAAGGACCATGCATCATGTGTTGCACGACCAGTTCGTGCATTTGGGGATACCTGGTCGGGTCTGGAATTTCAGCACAAACACTCTTGTCGTAATGATCTGGATTGGTCATTTTGTGTTCGGGTGTCATTATCAGAAGAAAATGGGCATGCGGCAAACCACGCTTTTGAAACTCGATGACATAAACATATGCCTTGACTTTACCGAGGATGTGCTTTTTTAAGAGTTGGTCTTTCATATCCTCTAGTTTCGCATGAAAAACTCTTGCAACAAGGTCTGGCCGATCGGGTGCGGTCTGACCCGACAATAGCTCTCTAAGGATTTCAAGCCACTTCAGATTGCACATCATTGTAAGGAATATATCGGGCTTCCCATCATCTTGCACTAAAGTCATGGCATCAAGAAATCGTCGCCGCATGTCACGTGGTCCTCCGATGAAACTTGCAGGCAACACAACCTGTTGTCCGATTCTACTTGGCATCACCTCACCGGCATTGACGCAATCCACAACACCTTGGTATAAATCTGCTCTTATTTTGGCTTGGTTTTTCTGACAAAAATCTAAATGGGAAGTCTCAATCTTGATGTAGATATCTACCACGAACTGTTGTAACAACCTTCCCCCTAATAGAAGCACATTGTCGTTCGAACGAATCTGGAACTTATAACAATAGTATTCCCGCATCGTCACAATATTCTTGTTGCCTCTCACATCAACCTCTGCGTAGTGTGTATTTTATGAAATAAATATAAAATGATGACATGTATGTTTAAGCATATATTTGTTACCTTAATTAAAACGTAAATATTGCAACATGGTATGTACCTTCTAAATCTTCCTCCATGTTTTCATCTTCATTAACACTTTGATTCATGCACACTTCATGTCTAGGTATATTAGAATGCCATCCAGGTTCACCGTTGGGAAAGAACAAAGGATAGGACAACGGGTCATAACAACTAAAGTAATATTGAATATTTTGGCTATAATTAGACCTCCCATACACAACAATACTTCTCTTATATGCAGTTATGTTGTCGTTGCCTTCAACCCAAATACTAGCAACCTAACATAATTATAGAACTCAATTTATTTAGTGTATGTATCTATTTTATTTCAAAAAGAATAACTCAAATACTTGTATTCAAACCTCTGATGTGGTCGGTCGGTTGTACACCCTTTGGTCAAGTTCCACTGAAGCATTCAAAGTGACTCTGTAGCTATCGAGTGGTCCGAGCTCACCAAGGCTTCGAAATGTTCTCACATACRGGTTCATAGAAAGAAMACGAGTCAAAATTTCAAYGACTTTTCTATCAAGATTTGGCCACTGGAGTCTATGCGATAACTCTGTTTCTGAATCATAAAAGTACAACTGTAAGTACCTGGGTTGTCCATCCCTCGGCACTAACTGATCAATTTTTTGATATACAGCTCCATGCGCAAGAAATGTATATACTCCGGATGTCATGTTCGCCATTGAACTATCCAAGTTTACACCCATTGATGTGAACGAAAAGTTCGTATTATATGCCCGTAAGTTGTGCCTAAACATTTCGCCTAATTGAGATTGCGATGAGAAAAGACTGTATAACTCCTCATGAATGGGTGAGTATGCTAACTTCGTTTTCCCTTTCATGCAACAAAAGGAAGGGAATTCAAATTTAAACCGTTTTGCTCCACAAAATTCACATGGATTTTGTTCCTTCAAGACACGATGTTTTCTAGGAATACCATTGTAAACAAAATCATACGGATCCCCCGGGAGGATGTCATGTTGGCTCGAAGTATTGACATCAGCCCTAATACAACCTCCTACATGATAAGACATTTCAGTGTTTACAATAGTAATTAATGATTTTTTTCTCTAGAGGATGTGAAGTTTAAAAGTCACTCTAACTAACCTCTGAATGCTTCATTGGTAACTTCATCAAAAAGAGGTAGAACTATACCACAGTTACTTCGAATGCCTATGTAAGAAAGAGAATGTAATTTAAATGAGATTCTAATTACTAAAATTGATAAAAGAATTAAAAAAAAAGGAAATGCACGATTTTACCCTTGAAGTTTTCATGTGTCAAATCCGAACATATTGGAGTCGTTCCTTCTGTGCATGCAACACTTGTTCCTTCTGTGTTAACACTTGTTCTACATATGTTATTTTCTTTATTTTGATGATAGTAATTTCTATTAGCAATTTTTCTCTTCTCAGCAATAGTGACTGCACTGACAGGGGTTGTTTCATTGACGTGCGACGTCTTTAACAGGGTCGTAGATTGACTACTTTCTTCACTGTTAGCTATTTTTCTCATTTTGTTCTTTTTCTTTTGTCGTTCATAATATCGTCTGTTGTATTCCTTTCTTTTTTCTGGAACAATATTGTTTTATATAAATATATATACAATTGAGTGAATATATCACATGATAATAATTAAAGTAAGTTTTCCATATACCTTTTGCTATATCTACATCAACTTGCGTTACATTATTATTTGCAATTTTATCATCACCCATCCTCATTGRAAACTGTAAAATGATAAAAATAGGAAAAATATGGTTTGATCTGTAAAATAAGGTGTAAAGACTGGAATTAGAATGAACAAAGTTAGGGTATGAAATTTCGAGATTGAACAAAATATAACTTGTCATCCTTGTTCTTTTACCTTGGTTGTCTTGAATAAAAGTTTAGTAGATACACTTTTTCATCGAACATATCACTCATTCTTTGTTGTGTATCTACTAATTGCCTTAGTTGTTTTAATTAATAAGTCAAAATATATCATTAACAGACAATGAAGAAACAACGATTAAACTTATACCAACATAATAATACATATAAAAGATACATATAAGTTCACAAATAC